CAAACTCAAAGAAAGAAGCTCAAAACCCAGTAGTGCAGCTCCTGGATTCTGGAAATCTTGTTCTACAGGACAGAAATGCTGGTATTTTGTGGCAAAGCTTTGACTATCCAACTGATACTTTGCTGCCAGAGATGAAACTTGGATGGGACTTACGGACAGGTCTTAATCGACAAATATTGGCGTGGAAGTCCCCAGATGATCCATGCCCAGGAGACTTAATTTATGGGGTAGTGCCATACAATAATCCTGATACTGTTGTTTGGAAAGGATCGAGAGAATACTCTCGGACAGGCCCCTGGAATGGCATTGGAACGAGTGGTGCACCCCAATTGAAGCCAAATCCGTGGTTTACGTACAACTTAGTCTCAAATGAAGAGGAGGTTTACTACATTTTTTCCCTCAAAAACAAATCACCAATCACAAGGCTTATTGTGAACCAAACTACCAGCAGGGTGGAACGCTATTTCTGGAATGAAGACACTCAGACTTGGACAGTGTCCAACCATATTCCATCGGATGACTGTGACATCTATGGGACTTGTGGGGCATATGGGAACTGTGTCAGTACAGCACTACCGCCTTGTCAATGTTTAAGAGGTTTCAAGCCAAAATCGCAAGAAGAAAGCTCAGTGGACTGGCTTCAGGGATGCGTGCGCAATAAACCTTTAGATTGCCATACAGGTGATGGATTTATCAAAGTTGGTGGTCTGAAACTGCCAGACACTGCACATTCTTGGGTGAATAAGAGTATGAACCTCAAGGAGTGCAGGGCTAAATGCTTAGAGAATTGTTCTTGTATGGCCTATACAACCTTGAATATTAAAGAATCCAGCGGTTGTGCAATTTGGTTTGATGATCTAATTGATCTTAAACTGGTCCAATCTTCTGGACAAGATTTATATGTTCGAGTGGCTGCTTCTGATTCAGGTATTGGGTTAGACATTTCAGTATTTCCTGAAGTTTTGTTATGATTCGTCTTTATGTTGGGTGTTTCCAGTTCTATTTTCAGTAAATTTGTGAAACTATTTCATTGCTAGAATACTAATTCATATATTTCGTCTTTGCTCTATTGAATTAGACCAAGAAGAGACAAAAGGCAAGACTAAAATAATGGCAGGACTGATAATTGCAGCTGTCATTCTTGTAGTTACTGGTGTTTTTGTAATCACCTACTACATTCGAAGGAGCCATCGGAACATAGAAGGTTTGTTTCTCTGACTTAACAAATCATGTTGCCATTAAATATTGAAAAAAACTTCTATTGGCGCTTTCCTCACCATTTGATTTTGGTAAATTATTTACCCTTTCAGGGAGAGAAAATGGCTGCAGTGATGAAAGGCAAATTGAAGATATGGAACTCCCATTGTTTGAGGTAGCTTTAATATCAAATGCCACCAATAGCTTCTCTTCAAACAATAAGCTTGGAGAAGGTGGCTTTGGGCCTGTATACAAGGTAAATTTAGGTGCTCTAAGAAAAATGATTACTAGGATAACTCATATAGTAATCAACTTTTCAAGTACACTTTTTCAGGGTACTCTACCAGATGGAACAGAAATTGCTGTGAAGAGGCTCTCAAGAAGCTCTGGACAAGGATTAGTTGAGTTTAAGAATGAAGTAGCACTTATAGCCAAACTTCAACATCGAAATCTTGTAAAGCTTCTAGGATGCTGCATTCAAGGGGAGGAGAAAATGCTAATTTACGAATATATGCCCAATAAAAGTTTGGACTGCTTCATTTTTGGTTCGGATTTTTATTAAACTTGTTCAATTAACTTCGTAGAATTATATAAATTCATCACACTTTTTTTCCTTATTTCAATGCAACTCTTTTTCAAAAGCTCTAGTTGAAACACTACATTAATATGATGAACATGTTATGTGACAGATCGTACAAGAAGGAATCTATTAGACTGGCCAAAGCGTTTTCACATTATTTGTGGAATTGCTAGAGGACTTGTCTATCTACACCAAGATTCTCGATTGCGGATCATCCATAGAGATCTCAAAGTAAGCAATGTTTTACTTGATAGTGAAATGAACCCCAAAATTTCTGACTTTGGCATGGCTAGAACATTTGGAGGAGAACAATTTGAGGGGAACACAAAGAGAGTAGTTGGAACCTAGTAAGCCCTATTTCTATACTGTCTAATTTAATTCAAAATGCATGGTGATATAATTTTCTTAATTGTTTTCTGCAGTGGTTATATGGCACCAGAATATGCCATTGATGGGAAGTTCTCAGTAAAATCTGACGTTTTCAGCTTTGGTATATTGTTGTTGGAGATAATAAGTGGGAAGAAGAATAAAGGGTTTTACCATCTCAACGACAACCTTAACCTTATTGGACATGTAAGTATCAAGGTTCAAGAGCTACATCCTTACCTTCCTGGAACTAGAAAATGACAGTTAAAATTTTTATTTAGGCTTGGAGATTGTGGAAAGAAGGAAATGCTTCAGAATTGATTGATTCATTTGTGCAAGAATCTTGCACTCTATCAGAAATATTAAAGTGCATCCACATTAGTCTCTTATGTGTTCAACAACATCCTGAGGACAGGCCGAGTATGTCATCTGTGGTTTTAATGCTGAGTAGTGAGACTGCACTGGTAAAACCCAAAGAACCTGGTTTCCTTTTTGACAAGAAATCACTTAAAACAAATTCTTCAGCCAGCAAGCCTGAATCATCTTCAACAAATGAACTTAGCTACTCCGTGTTGGAGCCTCGATAAAGGTAATTACCTGAAAACTGACATGCCTCGTGCTGCAACTATTACTTAGCTGAATCAGCATGCTTTCTAATTGGGATTTTCTGTGCATCTATTGAGTTGAATTCGCTTATAATTAATTTTATTGAGTCGCTTGTATTTAATTTGCATTCCTAAGTTAGAATGCATGTGAGTGACTTGTAATGAACCTATAGCTTGAGTTGACTATAAAACATGCCTAGTTGTGGTTTTCCTTGCCTGGAAACTTCATGAGCTTAGTCTGAATTTGTGTGGATCTAACCAAGTGTGCCAGAACTTTATGTGCATTTCTGGAGAAATCAATGCATGTAGATTTATGAACTATATACAATTTAGTATGTGAAAAAGGCAAGTGATTATTTGTTGTGAATAATACGAATTTTAGGGGACCCCACTTAATTCCTATTATTATTGTGTGAACCATAACTTATGGTTTGAGGTATTCAACGGATCTTTCAGGGTTATAGTGGACCTTTGGCAGTGGTGACCGGGACTAGCTAGCTTCAGCCCTAATGTGAGTGCTATAGCACATTCAATGGATTTCATAGCATTGTGATTTCAATATGGCTGTTATATATGTATTGTGGTTTTGAAATGCTTTAGTTAGTTTGTGCTTTGGGTTAGGAACTCTATTGAAATCAACTTTTATAAGTTCTTAATTAGTTGGATATGGCTTACGTGTGGTGCCTTTTTGAGCTTTCCCCTTTAATTATATTTTTCCCCTCCTTTCAGATAACGGTATAGCAAGCTCTGGTTGTATGGTTCTTTGATGCTGCTTGTGTGTAGGACTTAGAATTCTCATTGCACTTGGAAGTCAAGCAAATCGACTAGTGGTTGCTGCTGTCTTGTATGTAGGAGTTAGAATTCTCATTGCACTTGGAAGT